CATCTCCTTTTGAGCTCTCCTTAGGATTATGTACTTCCCAGGATGAGGGCTCTGTGGCATATGGTATCCTTCCCCCTCAGTCTTGTTATTTGTCTTTTCTACCTCCTTTTTGCTTCTCCAATAAAGTTAATTTCTTCCCCTATGAGGTACTTTCTCAAACTTCACATTTTCAGAGGTTTCCGAGTTAGTGGGGACTTTTAATAAGTTCATGTGGGCTTTGTGTTGCCTCTGAACTCTTCTGATCATAAGGCTCCTATTTCTTTGACAGGCCTCCCATCTTTTCCTACTACGTACCATTTCCGCCTAAGTCAGGCAGAATCTTTCTTGGTTAATGGGGATATAATGCTCTTTGTTCTTCCCTTCATTCTGACATCATTGTAACTTGGTTGGGGAAGCCTTACATCCACCCATTTTGGTATTTTGGCTTCTCTGTCCTCCACCTCTTCAGAGGCTTCATAATTTCTGAATACCTCTGATAAGCCCTTTGGTTAAAAATCTTCTCCCAATCTTTAGAAAACATTTTTGGAGGTCTCTTTCTCAACTGCCAGCATGATACTTCTGCGAACTTCTTATTCTTCTTTCTCCTTTCTTTTGATCAATAATGGCTCCTGATGCTGGTACTTTTAACTCACATTCGCCCTGGCACTTACTACACAACACTAGTCCTTTAACTATGATTGCTTTAGGTTTCTCGGGCAGCTTGATAGTTCCTTCTGTTGGTTTGTCAACTTGCCTCATTTCTGTTTTCACTTCCCAATTGGCTTTCCTTTTCCCTTTTTCCACCCAAGTCAAGTTGATCATGTTTATTGGGGTTTCTGGAAAGGGATCTGTGTCAATCATCATATTGGCTTATGGTTTTTCCAACAACAATTTTCCCTTCACTATTAGGTCTTGTATCCAATCCCTGAATTGGACACAGTTGGTTATGGAGTGATTGAAGTTATAGTGCAGTTTGCAATACTTCTTTCCTCTTAGGTTTTCTGGTTTAAGCATCTTTTTGGTGCTGTCAGGCACAATCATTCTTACCCGTACCAACATTTCATAGATCTCTGAGGCCTTGGTTAGGTCAAAAGAATAACTCTGGTATTAAGGGAGCTTCATATGGACAAATCCACCATCATTCATCACCACTTTCTGATCCTTGACTGGTTGAACTAAACCCTTCACTATTAAAGGTTTGAAGGGGGTAGTCATCTCTGCTGCACACATGTCCATCCCTTATCTTCCATAACCATCATTTTGTTCTGGCTCAGCTCATTCATACACCACTTGGTGAATTGCAGCTTTATTTTTGTAGAAAGAATGAGCCTTAGATGAGTGCTTCACTTGATGTTCCTAAAGCAACAGCTTTTCATACTTTGTGGCAGCAATTACCAACTCTTGTAACTCATTGAACTGTACATCATAAAACTTTTTCCTCAAAGGCAGCCTTAAAGCCTTCTGAGCAATGGATATGAGTTGGGCATGATTGATAGGGAATTGGCACCTCATTCTTGTCCTTCTAAACCTCATCACGAAGTCTTCTATAGACTCATGTTCGTATTGTTTCATCTTCACTAGGTCATTGATAGACATATCGGGCTCCATCCTATAGAATTGCTTATGGAAAGCTATCTCCATTTGCCCCCAGTTAGCAATAGAATTAGGGGGCAATAGAGAATATCATTGAGATGCTAGGCCAACCAACGAGTTCCCAAACAATCTTAACTTATAATTTGAATTGTCTTCAAATGCCATGTAATGATTGGAGAACTTGAAGATGTGATCTCTAGAGGATACACTGCCATTTTCCCCACTAAAAGTGGAAAACGCGGGCATCTTGAAGTTGAGTAGAAAAGGATTCTGCTCATCAATATACTCCGGGTATAGCTTTTGGTAAGTGATCCTAAACAACGGGCAAGCATAAGGTTGAGCATTCTGGGCCACCATCCTTCTTAACTCAGCTAACTCATCTCTGAGCTGTTGGTTAGCTGTATTATTGTATGGGGTATATGGGGCTCCCCATTTCAGGCTGCAATCATTGCCTGATAAGGTTTCCTTCTTTGGGTCGGGTTGTCTCCACTTGGCATCCCCTTCATTTCTGGCCAATGGTGGGGGCCTATAAAGAGGATGCTTGTCTGCCTTGGTCCGCTCGCCTTTTCCACTAGATTCTCTGATTAACTGGGGCATCTCATACTTCTTTCTTTCTTGCCCGCTCTGCCCCCTACTACCTAATGAAAATAATAGGGGGTAGGGCAACTCTGTTTCCAAGATCTCCTTTAATACTGGCTAACTAGCTCCAGATCCTTCCTTGTTTTTTCCTTTATCCCTATTTTCCTCAAGCATAGGAAATATGGGGATAACTGGTTTTTTCTCAGGGCTGTATTCCTTCATCATTTCCCTGGCATAACCATTCTTTGGAGTAGAGTACTTCATATCTAATCTTCTTTACATACTCCCTGTTAAGGAACAAAGTCTGCTTACTTCTCCTCTGGTTTTCAGAATGATATTCTCTATACTTTTTAGCATTTGTACCATGGTGGCTTGCAAATCTTCATTGGTTACTTTCCCTCATGACTTCTCAGATGAAGTTGGGCTTTCTAAAATAGCTAGTCCTTGCAGGGAAGGAAAATCTTCTGGACGATTTGTCATGCTCAATCTTGGTAAACACTGGGGTGGCCCGTATTATGTGTTATGCTTGAAGGTTTTCTCCTTCCTTCTTTTTCTTGGCATACAAGACTATGAATGTCTAACTGGGTGTGCCAAAACTATGTTTGGGCGAAGATTTCTCTGGAGAAGGATCATCGGACCTCAGTACAGTTCCCCAAGGGATTGGCACTTTGGATGTGTAGTCGGGCTCTTGCTTGTTGAGGTACTTCAAGAAGAGGACATTGTTAGTTCTGAAATGTGTCTTTATGGGGCCTTAGGTGTAGGTCTTGAGTCTCGCAATCAAAACTAACTAAGTGTAAGGCTGCCATTGCTATCTTAGTATAGCAGATGTAGAACAAGTATGTTTTTAGTCGATTACTTATGCCCCAAGTTACTCGAACTTCTTGTTATCAAAGGATTGTCGTGGATAAGTTAAGTCTACATTAAGTTCTTGTTCTTGCCTTGTAAACAAGGACTTGTAGTTCATGGTCTCATATGTTCGAATGAAGGGAGTCCAGAGCCCCTTAAGTAATTTGTTTTGTCCTAGATTGCTTTTAATGAAGACATGTCCATTAAACTAACCAGATCCAGATACAAATAAGACTTTTAAGTAAGAAAACATGTGGATATGACTTGAATACATACTGGAGAATGCATTAAGTAATAGATCTATTAACTTTGAAAACAAACAAAAAGCTTCGGACAAGATTTCACCTTGTATGGCAAGGTTGAACTTCTTGCAGTTGCTTTTCTTTGAATTAACAGGGGTTTATATGCTAAAAAAAGATGGATGGTAAATAAGTTTACACAAGGGAATCGATACTACGCCACTTAAGGAGATAATAGAACTTTAAACTGGACAAGAGATAATTTGTGACTAAAAAGGACTGAATCTCGGTTGATTTCAGCTTTTGGATGCAAATCTGGCTTGAGAGCAGAGTTTGTATGCTTGTTTGTTTGATTGGTTGAGTGTCTTTGTCTCTGGGGCCTCTTCCTTCTTTTATAGGTAAATTAGCCCGACTACTGTGACTTTGCTTTTGCCCGAAAGCATCTGAATGGTAGTGAGTCATCAACTTTTTACTTGGAATGCCACTAGAAAGTGTTCTTTGGCTGGTAGTAGGTTAGTCTTCATCACTTGTCACTTCAGTGGTAAGCACTTGGCTTGTATCTTGGCTGAGAAGGCTTCACTTTGCCTTTGGGCTTGGTGCTGGGCTTTGAGCAAGTCCCCTTTTAGTTGGCATCCTTGGGCTTTCCTTCATCTAGGTCCAATGTTCAAATATTAGCCCAAACACTCAGGGTAGAAGTTTGTAGGCAGACAATTACTGGCAACATCCTTGTGGGCAGCTATTGTGCCTTGTCCGACAAAGGTGGCTTGGTAAGAACATGTCTCATTCCGTCTGTATTTTCTGAGGGACTACCAGTATTATGTTCCGTAACCCTAACTTAGACAATGCTCGGTGCAGGTTCATCCACATTCATCAGTTGAGGACTTGGATGAACTTTCAACACTTCTTCAGGTACCTCTAGTTGAACCGTGGTAGTGAAGTAATAGAAGCCGGCATGGTTGTGAATGACTGGACGACATTCTATGGGTTAGACACCACTGCCACGGAACTCTCAATCATCGAAAATCATCGAAAAAGTTTCAAGTTAAGGGAGGAAATCACTGTTTGATAGCTTTATTTGAGTGACAATCTATCTGCTAGCAATCTCATGAGTAGTTATCTCTTCTCTGGGGTGTCTATTATTTGGAAATCGTTTCAAAATTCTTATATTTCATTCTTTTTGAAGTCTTATTTGTAAGAGCTCAAATTTTACCTGGTGTGTGATTAAGAAGAAGAGTGAAATTTGTTCATGGAAAATGTGTAGTACACCTCAAAAGTATAATTTGATCCCTGCAGTCTCAGTTGTCGCGATATAAACCTTGCAGTTTACTAATTTTGCACTTCAAGGATGTTTATTTACTCATGTCACTCGTGAGCTAATTATGCAGTGAAAAAATTGTTTAAATCAAGTTAGTGCCCTTAAATTGCTACAATCAGTCTTGTAGGGTAATTAAAAATCGGCAATTGAAACTAAAGGCGGAACTTCGCTCAAATTGCAGGAATTAAATTCGGCAACTGAAACTAACGGGGGAACTCCGCTCAAATTACGCTAAGAACGTCATGCATTTTTCATCGAAACAAATGGAACCTTACGGAAAGGGTGTGTTTTTGGCAAAGTGATTTAATTTTTTCATTAAGCCTACAAGCTTACTCGTAATCAAAAGTGCTCGATGTTAACAGACCGGCTTAAGAAGCTCTACTACTTGCGATTTCCTCTACAAGCCATCATTTGATGCACAACAAAAATGCAGGAAGGAAATAAGGAAGGAAAGAATTACTTGATAGTTATATTCTTGATAAAATTTGATCCAGAACTACAACAATGTTGTCATAGCATTGTCGGATATACGACGCGTCTTTGTTCCTAGCTGCGTAATCAAGCTGCAAATTCACAAAAACATGGTCAAGTCACTGAATCCATTTTTTGCACCAGACTAAGAGCATTCACCCCCCGAAGACCCGAGTTTAATTCACCCGTCCCATAATATCGCTTGTAAAGAGAAAAGAAAGACCCAAGTTTTCACAATGCACTCACACCACAGTACCACGACAAAGCTACGTCATCACTTTATATTCTTTGTAATTATCTTATCGTTTGTCAAAAGAAAAACGAATGGGGTTACTTACTCTGGTAACATTGTTGAAGAGGTCGGTATAAAGCTTCCTGAGTTGGGGCCTCTCACTTGCTGGTTTCCCTTGAATTATGGTGTAAAAATCTTGCTTCAACAACGATGAGCTCTTCCTCAGAGCTGCCTGTAATTCTCTCCACGACTCGAACTCTATCAGATCCTTCACTTCCAACAAAGCTTGTGCGTGCCCTCTGATTTCGTCCTCTGCTTCTGCAACCGTCTGATCAGGCGCTACAAGTGGCAACTCGAACCCATAAGCAGCTTCTGTGAAAAGTGCTTCTTTTGCCAGCAGTGCCACCCAGCTTATTGCTGCCATTGCTCCTATTCTTCTTCTCTTGACATGGAACTCAAAACCCTTCAGTGGCAGTGGCTTCTCTCTCGACTGCTGAAACTCAGAGGGTTGTTTCAGACAGCAAGAAATTGAAGGATTCATGTGTTGCAGTATGGCTGGTTTAAATGCCATTGTTGTTCTTCTGCACAAGAATACAGAGCAAACAGACAGTGGATATGGATAGAGAGAAATGCCTGCCTGTGGGATTATGGGAAGTGGGTGGGGGTGGAGGGTTGGGCTGGGCTGGTGTTGGATTAGGCCTGGGCTAAAAATATAACATTGTCACTCTACAGAACAAACAAACAAACACACAATTGAATTTTCGTCACATTTTGTTCGAGTTTTTTTTTATTTTTATATACAACATTTCTTTTTTTTTTTTTTAATTCTACAACTTTTGTTCTCAATATTCACGTTTATTTTTTGAGTTGTCTTTCTTTGGCCATCAATTATAGTGTCTTATATATGGTGTTTTTAATAAATAAAAAAATCTAATATTCCAAAAAAAAAATTTGTTGACAAAACTGAATAATTTTAAAGAGGTTGTTAGTACTCTACAATTTACTAGCCAATTATCATGCGCTCGATCATGGCACCAATTTAAATTTTTTGGTATTGGTACGGAGCTTTGTAATAATAAATATTGAATTTATAGTCCTCTTACGGCTGGTTTGGTACACATGATTGAATCGAAATAGATAACCAAAGTATGTTGAAGGTGGAAGTGAATGGTTATTCATTTGGAGGAGATTAGAAGAGGATTAGCTATGAAAGAAATCCATCCCTTTTAATTTTACCATATTAAGGAGGATTTAAATGGATAATTATTCGTCATGAATAATCTATTTATTATTCTCTAGGTGGTCATAATTTTATAATTCCTTTTTTTAACGCATGTTTAATTTAATAAGTTATCCATTTCAATCCAATTATGTGTTTTAAATGAATTCTTATTACAATATAAAAACTTCGTTTCATAGGCTTGCGTACACAGAAGAGGATAAATAGTTACCTAAGAATATCTCCAATGCTTATCCTTGTATCTGTTCTCACCACCGTATGTCCTTAAATTTAAGAACTTTGTGGCTTCCAATGTGCTAGAATTCCCAGCCCCAAAAAATTCCTCACAATTGTGGACTGCGTAGGTACTCTCAAATGTGGTGGGGCCCAAGTTTATTTTGAGTAAGGTGAAATTCCAAGCATATGATGGAACTCTCAGAATGCTGTGCAGCTTTCAATGGGCGGGTCCCGCAACTTTTTCTTTTATTTATTGGTGGGATATCAACGACTATGACAGTTTTGTTTTTTAGTTTTTTGTAATTTTACTAATTAGACTAACGGCTACAAAATAAACAATGATGTTTTAATCATTTAGAATGTGCTTGTTGCAACAAATTATTATAGATTAGATTAAATTTAATAACTAAATTAGACGATATTAATGAAGTATTTAGTACAATGTAGAACTCAAAAACTTGATAACTAACAAACTAAATTGTTTTATTATTTAATTCATATTTATTAATATTTAATTATTAGTTTATCTTTTTCTTTTTTCTAGAATACTCTCTCTCTCTATCTAAACTTATCCCTCTTTATCCTGTGCCACTTTCTCCCTCTTCCTTTCACTATTTTCCTCCGTTTCAACTATTTTTTTTTTTAATGCAATCCTCTTCATTTCAAATTTTCTATAGAATCCTCCCCCCTCTTCCCTCACCGCCCTTTTTTCCCTCTGCCACTCTCTCCCTCACCTCTCCCCCGTTTCCTTGTGCTGAGTGTTCGTCGGAGCTCTCCACCTAACGCCTCTTCTGACTTTTTTTTTCTTCGGAAAATATCGGGATTTTGTGGAAATTTTACTTTTTTGTTCTGAATTTGTGTGGAGGATTCGTCTGTCGGTGCTTCTGGGGGTTTTATTGTTTTTGTTTCGAATTTTTTGGGTTGAATTTTGAGATTTAGGTCGTGGGTGGGGGTGGTTTCAGATCTAGGCATAGGTGTGGGAGTAGGAGGTGCAGACGACAAAGGCGTGCAAACGATGTTGGAAACAGGATTAGCAATCTCATGCTTTTTGGTGGGTTTATCTAAGTTGATGCCCTTAGTCGGAGCGCGTCTGGCTTAATTCATTGTCTGTGCTCTCACCAAACACGGATTAATAAGCTTAGCTACCCCAATCGAGTCTAGTGAAACTTAACAAGGGCAAATTTGTTTAACCTTCTTAAGTGGGAGTGGACTCGCTAGGACTACTATCCCATGTTTGTTATGTCTGAGGACTAAGTTAAATGAGACTAGCAAATTAGTCTCCCGCTGAACCATGGGATTGCTAAAAGACCTAACCAAACGCCTATTTCCCATGAACTGGTGAGAGCAACCCTTGCTTAGCTTTGTTTCCTTCCTTCTCTCCAAAATCCCAATCAATCTATAAATCTCGCTACAAATCTGAACCACAAAATCTTGATTTCACTGATTCCCTCCAAAAACCCTTTTCTTATTTTCCACTGAATCCCCATCAAACCCGCCTACATTCACATTAATCCGTAAGCTTTAATTTCCATAGGGTTTTCAGAGTTCTGTAACTGTGGAGATAGAAAGTAGGTAGTCGTCAAAATGCTAGGTGGGTTGTACAGAGACCTTTCTCCGCCCTATTCAACGAAGAAAGAGAAGCCCGGCAACGACACGGTGTGGTCGAGCAGCACGAAGATGGCGTCGCAGACGATTCTGAAGGCACAGAATAAGCCCAGATCGTCAAATGCGCTGCAACCGAAAATTACAACATCAACGACGGTTGCATTGTCACCGACAGTGATATACGGTGACGTTGATAGAGAGACTCGGTGAAAGATTTAGTTGCAAAGAAGAAGAAAGACTTGGTGAAAGGTTTAGTTCAAGTACTTTGTGAGGATTCAGTTTCATTTTTTACTAAAGATCGGTTCCAAATACATTTTCACAGAAAAACTATTTTTAGTTATTTTAAAAGCAATTCTAAATGAACCATAATCCAGTCTAGCTTAATCGTTGAAATTCAATCCGAAATAATCTAGTGCAACAAACGCACCTTTAGTCCCTAGATTTAAGGTTTATACTGACAGTTCCATTAGAGCTAATATTCTTTTAGAGACACGTATATTTTTTTTAAGTCCCTAAAATATGGACTCCCGTTAGAGATGCTCTTATCACTCACTTTGTCATGCTGCAACATTCTTTGAATTTCACTTCCATAACATCAAATGCTACGATAGTTTTGTCTTCGCAAATCCCCTATACATTGAAATCACTTTGTAAGGTTTCACCACTCACCATTCTAAATAAAAGGTTCGCTCATCTTCTATTCTATGGCCTGTTTGAAAATGCTATCAAAATCGCATGTAGATCTCTAAAAGAATTTCTAAACAATGTTTGATAATTACATATTTTTACTAAAAATCTCGACTCACTAATAATAAAAGCGCTTACAAGCGGAATTATTTCACATGCAAATTGCATATGACGCTAACGCCATACGTTGTCCCTGCGTGTGATGTGTGAATGCAGAGCGTGATGATAGTTCATAGCATGAATGAATAATACGGTCATGGGAACTTGTCTTGAAAAATACTTACGTAAACAACTTTTATTAAAGTAAGACATAGTCCGTACTCTGACAAGGACCACTGAAGTATGGTGGCACATGGATACTGTCACATCAGTCCCATATTGAACGGTCAAGATTTACAGGTACGGATCCCTGGACGGCGATGATGAGAGGTTCCCGTATCGCTCCCAGACTCTCTTGTGGTCTGAGGTCCAGCTCGGTCGGGACCCTTATAAGAAGGGAAAGAGTGAAGACCCTTACTCTTTCCTTTCCCTTTCCCTCTCTCTCCTCTCTCTCCTCTGTTCGGCACTCTGAGTTGCAACTTTCAAGGCAAAATCTCTCTCTCTCTCTCTCTCTCTCTCCCTACTTTTCTCTCTCTTTGGCTTTTGGGGGGTTTGAATCGAATGGACGGTGATAGACCGGAAAAGGAGGAGGAAAAAGCTTTTTGAGTAACAAATATCAGCTTCGAGCTTCTGCTTCTTCTTCTTCTTCTTCTTCTTCTTCTGCTTCCATGGCGATCTCTTAGAGGAGAGCGTGATGCTTCCATGGAGGGAGGGGAGGGGTTTCCAGTTTCCTCCGTTTGGGGCTTCAAATTGTAGAAAAGGATGGTAATTTCGTGGAGAAGGATGGATAAATTGGATAGCTTGAAGTAGTAGTAGTAGTCAGGAACTCCATCTTCTTTCTTCTGTTGGTGAGGGTGGTTTTGCAGATTAGGGTTTTTCTATGTGTGAATTTTTAAATATAATTAGGGCAAGGTTTAGGTTGATATTTATATATATTTAGTGATATGAAGCTTTCGACATCAGGGTTGGGTCAGCAGGATCATGAAGGTAAAAACCATATTTTTGAATAATTTTTTTTGCTTTTAGTTTATTATATTTCTGATATTTTAGTTTTAGGTGTAGCTTTCTGAAATTTCTGTAATTGATTACTATTATTGTTGCTGTCAATGTTAGTGTTTTTTGTTTATTGAACTGAAAAATGGCAGGAGGGGCAGGAGGAGGAGGATTGGAAAAGAAGTGCTTGAATTCGGAGCTTTGGCATGCGTGCGCGGGACCTCTGGTGTCCCTGCCGACACCTGGGACTCGTGTGGTCTACTTTCCGCAGGGCCACAGCGACCAGGTTGCTGCCACTACCAACAAGCAAGTTGATGCCCACATACCAAACTACCCGAACTTGCCACCCCAGTTGATCTGTCAGCTCCACAATGTGACCATGCATGTGGGTTCCCTTTGCCTTTTTTGAATTTTGATTCAGCTGCCTCACTTTCAGTTGCTTATTTCTTATAGAAGAAAGAACGCAAGTTAAAAATTGAAACCCAAACTGGAATTGATTAAGCTTTGGATTTCAGGCAGATGTGGAGACAGATGAAGTATATGCCCAAATGACACTGCAGCCTTTGACGCCGGTAAATGCTTATGTTTTTTTCGGTTTTATTTGTTGAAGTATTTTTAGCATTACCGTAATAAGTTGTAATGTTATTTGAAACCACACCCGTTCTCACACAGCAAGAACAAAAGGAAACATTTCTTCCAATGGAGTTAGGGCTTCCAAGCAAGCAACCGACAAACTACTTTTGCAAGACATTGACGGCGAGTGATACTAGTACACACGGAGGCTTCTCTGTTCCTCGTCGTGCTGCCGAGAAAGTTTTTCCTCCAC